GTGTTTAGTACCTAATTGAATGGACAAAATTTACCGATCTCTAGATTGAAAACGACCCAATTCCGAGAATTTTCGTAAATACAATATTTGTAGATTACCATGAGATGAAGATATTTACGAAGTTTTAGGCAGATGTTAATAATTTTATGAAAAAGGGTCAGTACCACAGATTACCACTTATGAAAGTGCAAACGTGTTTTCCTTTATATATCTAGATTTAAAAAACAACTAATTCAATTTTATTTTAAGATAAAAGAAAATTTAAGAATAATGAACAAATGATTTGGTATGAAATTTTCATTAAACATTTAAAATTAATTTGATAGTTAAAAATATGATATGATGTATGCAGATTATGAAAGAAATATGAATCAGCTGTCTGGCAGTGAACATATGATAACGGGAGATTATATGAATATTTGATTTTTTTAAGTTTTATGCTTTTATACAGTTGTGTTTATACAGTATTATAATAAAGGTACTGAAATAAAATAAAACTAAGGTGTATGCTTTATACCAAGCAACAGAAGCGAAAACACCAACATGGCGAGATTAATAATATGAAATATAAATTATAAATAATACCTCATTATAAAGAGGACGACATGCTAAAAATTTCCCTCGCTTACACTACGCAGGTCCGATTTTAAGTTTCTAAGACATTTTAATCCATATCTTCCATAAAACTCATTTGGTTTTCAACACTACCTTTTTTCGCCTCTCTAACACAGTGGTTTGAGACCGGCAAAAACCCCTATTTTCGAAGTGTTGTAATAATTCAAATTTCTATGTTTTTATTATTTGGCATGGTTAACTCATCTTTTCCTAAAGTATAGGCACGAATAAAAAACAGTTTCAAAGTTATTCAATAAAATAAAAGTAGAAAGCCTGTTTCTGCCACATTAATCATGGAACTTAAATTATAAATCATTAAATATATTTTAGGCGTTTCTGCATTGTTGTGTAATTTATAGAAATGAGCCAAATAAGTTCTTAAATAAGTTATTTTTAATTAAATTTTAGAAAATCGTATTTTCATAGGATAAGTTATCACTCAACGGATCCTGGGATCTCCTTTTTCCATCGAAAAGTACCTCGCGCCGACGATAGCCAAGGTTTTACTGTAATCAAAATGTTTTTTGAACCCTCTGCTAACGATGAATACAAGAATCAGTTGCGATAATTTGAGATTTTGGTAATTATCTGGCAAATTCAGTCAAGAAAGTTATACCAAAAAACGAACAAGAAAAAATTCCTACCTGTATCTAAATGAATTTATACCTAATACCATGTCCGCCATATTATCCATCATAGTATCATGTCTAAAACTCCTTTCCGTCATAGAAAACTAGAGGAAAAATATAGAAACAAAAAAAAAAACTGAAATAAAATATTGAACAAAAATTCAAACAATTTCGTGACTCATAATTGATACTGGGGTAATGTTTTCAGCTCAATACCATGTATTTGGTTTTATCTTCATTTAGTTGTAGGTTGATTTGTTCTTCTTCTCTTACCACTATGTCCTCTTGATAGTAATATAGGTAATATATATTTATAATTGATTCTGTCAATAACGTTATCCAATAAATTTTCACTTTTACAAAATATTACATGCAAAATATATTTTATTTATAATAGAAAAAAATTAGCAATAATAATAACGGCTGGTCTTCCCAAAAACGTTTTATTGGATATTAATATAGAATGCCCGTCACAATAAATTCAGTTTTTCAAATATCTTGCTATAATTAAAAGTTTTTTAGGGTTTTTGCCGTTTTATGCTTTTGCCGACCACTGCGCGGGCATCGCATTAAAATACAATTCCGGTTTTTAGTTTTTGAGACAATTTAATCCATATTCAAAAACCCTTTAATTAATCGACTCCAACTGACTTTACCGAAGCGTCACACATCGGAGATCTGACGGCTCAATCTAATTCACTCCACAAAAAAAAAAAAAAAAAAAAAAAAAAAAAAGGCAAAACACGACTAATGAAGTTTTCCCTTCAAAAACAGATACAAACATTTTTATTTGACCTAAAAGCAAACCATCTCGTGATATTGGGGTCCTTTATATTTCGCGTCACCTTTCCCTCCTTATCATAGATATAGTAACAGGGTTTATGAGGGGGTTGGAGGCGCAATTTGCGCCATCCAGATTTCTGAAAGGGACACATTTTGATAGTGTTTTGAAAGTTTGAGGGGGAGGGGGTGTTATGAATTTTCGGAATAGGAAGTTTCAATCCAGAGGACAAAAGAAAAAACATGTACCTGACTGTAGGAAGTTTAATTGTATATAATCTTCGATTTTTCTCATTTCTCTTGCACTATTTTTAAGAAGAGTAAAGCAACAAAATGTTTTTGAAGGGAAAGTGGATGAGATTCATGCGTCATTTAGGAGAGAGATGGGCAGCCCTGGTACTCAGTTTATCCAGGGGCGTCTTTACCTTACATTATACACATAACTTTATTGGGATGTATCATGACGTGTGACCTCACATTAAAAATGTTTACCACGTATCGTAGTGATATCGTTACCTCTTGAGCGGCCTGGACACAACCCTGACCTCAAATCTTATCCGACACCTTGAATTTGTGAAGCTGAAGGTTGATCATATCCTATATTGAAAAAAAATCTGGTGTCGCCACCAATATTTTTGTAGGCCACCTTTGGTCTAGGTTTTGTAAACAAATGACTTTACGACACAAGTAGAAAGCAAATGGAACTTCGTAAGTTTTTAATAGCTCATTAAATTGGCAATGCTAACCGACCTTCAAATTGAAAACACGTCATTGCCGAGAATTTTCGTCAGTAAAAAAAAATTGTTGTTAACGATAAAATTGAGCCATTTACGAAGTTTTAGGTGGATGTTAATAATAGTCTGTACCAAGAACTATAAATAGTAGTTGTAAAAGTTTTAGAATTTCTGTTTAGTTATTTTCTTGACACGTGCATGCATTTAACAGCTTTATTATCTGTTTATTGCAAAAAGTCATTAAGTGACATTTCATAACCTTAAATCACCAAGAACTTCCATGAATTTTTCCATCAGAACATTGAATACCTGTAGTAACTATATTTGATATATTCTATAAATATTAAGAAGTTATGTAATTTTGGTGAACTTATTTTTATAATAGATTTATATCAATAAATAATCTCTACATAAAAAAAAATTTCTTAAAAAGATAAGCTCCATCAAATTTGTACTTAACCACTTTTTGTAATTAACTGACGATAAGTATCGGATCATTTGTAATAACTGTCTCAATCTTTCATATAAAAAAAATTAATATTTTCAATTGCTTTGTTCATGTATTTTCAAATACACCCTTACGAAAAACAAAGCAACTAATATACATATATTTTAACAAAATTATTTAAACTGGAAAATTGGTCACTTATTCAATAAATTACAAAATGTTCATTGATCATTCTGTTTATTCAACGTTTCGATCTCGTTTTTTTTTTTTGTTTTTTTTTGTTAACAATGGGATACTCTTCAAAGTTTTAAAATATAACCTCGATACTTCAGGGACACTCCGACAGCCTTCAGCACCGTCCACTAGCACAGATATTTTTTAAAAAAATTTTTATTGTTTTTTTATTTAAAATATTACAATCTGTCTCAAAGGACATTTATAATAGTGTTCGGAGATCACATTCACACTCTCTATGTATAATAATAATATATATACAATGAATAACTACAAAATAACCTAGAAATAAATAAATAAAAAAGAACACAAACATACCTATATACACTATTTACAATCAGGCGAGAGAACTCCGATTCAAACATGTCCCTCCAACTGTGGGGGGAAAAGTATGACTCCAGGAGATCTCTGCACTTCTCTCTCAACCGCGTCACTGGGGCTAAACCCAGCAGAGATTGGACGAGGGTGCTATCACAGATATTAAGTTACCTAAGTGTGAGGAGCTTAATATCTGTGCTAATGGACGGTGCTGAGACTGTTGGAGTGTCTCTGGTCTGAGGTATCGAGTTTGTATTTTTAAACATTGAAGAATATCCCATCGTTAACCAAAAAAAAAAAAAACAGGATCGAAACGTCGAATAAACAAAAGGATTAATGAACATTTTGTGGTTTATTGAATAATTATTAAGTCACCCAATTTTCAATTTAAATAATTATGGTAAAATTTAATACTCAAAGGTCGATTGAAGAAATTTTGTAAATATATATAGCTTTGGCCGCGAGATGTGGTCTCCTTACAGACGTATGTTGCTTACGCGAGCACACAGATAGCCTGGAGAGGGTTACCAAACCTCACGTTGCTACGAACCATGGTCTCCATGGTGCAGCGACAGGCCACCCGTATTTCCGTAGCCGATCCCTTTGGGGCCAATTTGCCAGTGTCCTTCCCACCGACTCACTCGGGTTCAAGGACAGTGAAAAATCGGTCTAGATCCATGGATTATCGCTGCTCAGAGTCAGACGCCGCAAGAGAACCTATATTTCTTTCCCCGAAACAGGCCGTCCATGGACCGAAACTCAGAGAGGCTACTGACATCCTGGTAAACCATATCCCGATTCATGTACAAGTAGGGTCATCAGTCCTACGCCCAGTCGGTGTGAGTTGCCTCCAGTAGGCTGACGGGCTCTTCACACACCCAAATCGGGCGGTCACCCATCCAAGTACTAAGCACGCTCGACGTTACTTAACTTTGATTTCCTATTATATATATATATATGCTTACCCATACCTATATACATATGAGCATACCTATATACAAATTTTTTTAAAAATATATATTACTTTATTGTTCGTTTTACAAAATTGTGTTGTTTATTATAATTATCACTGATAATTGTTATATTAATATAAACTCCCGAGATTTTTTATGGAGGGAGGGGTGAGGAAGAGGGAGTCATCGCCCCCCTCAAACAGAATGGAAAGTCTGCGCCTAATAGCATAATTAGAAAAAAAAAAATATATTATAAGCCTTTTAAATATTTATTATGATATTTATCTATAAACAAACATATATTCTATATTTAAGATAGCTTCTAATTCCAACCACTTCCAAATACATTGTTATCTTGAGATATACTCAGATAAGATCACCAGTTCGGGCTCCTAGGCGAACTATAAAATTAGTCATGAAGTGGACAGAAAATACTTGGTTTTTCGTCGGAAAATATCGCAACTGTAAGTTTTTTTTTTGTTTATTTGGCGCGTAAAATTTTATTTCACAAGTTAGTGTAATTTTATTAAAAAATATTCATTATATAATAGGAAAGAGAGCATTGATTTCATTACTTATTGTTAGTTCTTAACGATGAAATCCGTTGAGTTCTTTGTTAATTCTTAAGTTCAGGACCAAAAATATATATAATAAATCATTAGTTAGTTAAGAAAATCCCAAGGATTTATAACATCACGTTGCGACAATGGCGGATAAGAAAGAGAGGATTTCAGGCGGCCAAGCCTCCACTAATTTTTTTTTTTTTTCATTGTCCATATTTGTTTCTATGAGTTATTTGAGCGAAATACTTGAACCATCATAATATGTTCTCTTTTTGTCCAAGTATGGTGAAGTCATAAGTTGGCCGATTGTTTTTTTTCAAGTTCAAAAAATCGAATTATTCCGTGAGATCCCGTGAGTATTTTGGAACAAAATGAGTTCAGAATATTGACAAGTTTTCTACACTACACTAATTATTAATGTGTTACTAACGCATTAAAAAAAAAATCAGTTGCAATGCGGGCATCACACAAGTTTCACTTACCACTCTCTTAGCAGAAATAAGTATTTTCAGACAAAAAAAAAGTGAAATTAAAAATAATGGTATGAAATATTATTTAAAACAATTAATTGCTATATGTTTTTCATAGTCGGCTAATGTATTGTATTTATTTTGTTTGACATTATTTCAATTATTTATTTGATTAGAATAAATAATTGAGATTCACGAAATGTTTTTATTCCAAAAAAAACGAAATTGATAAAGAAGACAGCTTTATTCATTTATATTTCATTGTGGGTATTTTTATTTGATTAAGTATACCGGTATATATGTTTATGCCGCATATGTTTATGTATATAATATAGTCGGAGTCCGTATTATATTATGCTCATGTTACGTATGAAAGTTTGCTCTAATCATCTCGCTCCTGTATTCCTTTGGTTCCACTATTGCAACTATTCTTGGTTACGATCTCTTATTTTTCTTTTGTTAATTATCAAATGCTTTCATATTTTATATTTAAATATTTGTATACAACAGTTAATTGTGGAATGGTTAATTATTACAAGTAAAAAAAAATGAATAGGTTGTCATTGTTATAAAAATTTAAAATAAAAAAAACTTTATAGAAAGATATATTGAAAATAAGCCATTTAAGCCCTGTTAGACAACATCGATGAGAATACACATACATTTTGTTTGAATTAATTATTTAGACTCAGAGAACCTCAAAACGTGTATTTCCGTCGAAAACTCAGATTCAAATTTTTTTATGATCGCAATACTTACTATATATTACATATACAGATAAGTGAAAGTAATTAAAATATAAAGGGAGGTTACATACCTGGGTTCACCGATTTCACTAAAACTTTTTTTGGTGATACTAGGTCGAAAAATATTAGACCCATACCAAAAACTTTCCAAACGCTTTTATTTTTTATCTCTAAGCCTAATTTATATGCGGGCGTCTGGTTTCTTCCATTTTTTTATACTATAGGGTCCAAAATTTATGATAATTGTATTGTGGTAAAGAAATTAGGCTTGGAGTTAAGAAATAAAAATGTTAGAGAGTTTTTCTTTATTTATTTCTAATAAAGGCGTATAATTTAAAAAATTTTAATATAGTTTTGAAGAGCCATAATTTAACTTTCCAATGGTTGTAGTAACGTTGGCTAAGGAAAACATCCTGAGGAGTTATAAATATTTTAATAAACGGCATGAAAAAAAATCTTTTCATAAAATTAAGTTCAAAAATTTATATTTTTTTATTTGAAAACAAGCTCGTATTTAATAGTTATCTAATATGAGAATTCTCACTGGAATATAACAGTTATATAAAAGTTGTTTTATCTGTCTTTTAAAAGGTATGTAACGATTTTTTGAGCGAATGACTTTTGAGTTTGATAATTACCACTCACGAAAGTGTTTGTTTTGAAACAATTTAAGCTCAACTACAAACAAATTATTAAATTATAATTAATTTAATTTTTTGACTTATTCCAGTGTTATTATTTTTAAAAAACTTTCCCTTTATCAAAAAATCTATAGTTAATGTATTATCAAATATCATAAATATACCACGTGATATAGCTTTTAAAAACAAATATCACGTGCCAGTGGTTGTGTAAGAGAAAATGCGTTTTTTGGAATCAGCGACAAGTATTTTTCTTCAGTTTATCAATGGCTAAATGCAATTTTAGCATAGTGCCAACGTTTGTACCAAAATTATAAAATTTCATCAGTCATTTGATATAAGGTCATTGGAGATCTAGTCTTTTTTTAAGATATTAAAGGGTTCTATGGCGAAGGTTTTAGACAATTTTCATGAAAATCGTTGTGTAGATAGAAAAACATAGGCTACAGAGCACAGAGTACACAATTTGGTACACAGATTTCCAAACTCTAGAAAACAAAAATCGGTCAACCAGTTCAAGAGATAATCATATGCGCTGACCAATGGGCAAAAAACTGTTGTTTTTTTTTTAGACGAGAAGAAATAAATTTCTGAAACTATACGATCTAGTGGCGTTGTAAGAACATGACCACTCATCCAAATAACTAATTTTGTTTAATATAAAATAAAATATGTTAATGAGATGTTAAGGTAGAACAATAATTTAGTAAACTAAATTAAAAATTGTAGAGTTAAAAACTGAGATAGGCAAATTAAATACATAAGTTATAGGTAACAAACTTATACATAGGTATAACTTATAACTTATAAACTTATAGGTAAAAAACTTGTAAAAAAAAAATAAATCCACGATACAAAGCTCTTATCAAAACATAAACACAAGAAAGTCAACCGACAGAGGTCGCCCTACTTAGTACAGTATCTTATATAATGTTATCTTGAACTATTGTATGTTAAATTGATTCCATTATCAGTTCATAATAAACTCTCAAAACGAACATACTAAAGGCCGTCTTAATCAATTCAAGGATTACTTTTAAGTTTTTTTATTTTTAATTAAGACCGCACCCCCGTTATCTTGGTTTCATTTAAAATTAACTATTTCTTCATTATTATGAATTTATTCTTCATGTAACATACTAGAGTCCTAACATTCCTTTCAGCACGGCAACTGCCACTGATCGCTTTAATAATTTTCATGACGGACTGACTCTAAATTCCAATCCACTTACTCAAGCTCTATCTACTGCCACAAATCCATATAATCCGCCAAGAAGACTGCTGAGGCGCTGGCCAAGAGACTTATTGAATTGAGCTACTTGCTGCATTATCTTTTTTTTTGTGTGTGTTATTATGTTATGTGTTATTTTACCATTGTTTTTTTGTTTTTTTTTTGTCTTTTTGTTTTGTTATTACTATTCTTTTTTCTTTATGCTATCATTTCTTCTCCTTGATATCATATTTGCTGAATAGCGAGGTAGATGGCAAATTTATTGTGAGCCAGGAATATGTATAACTAATAAAATAACTGTTTTTAAGAAGCAGAGAGCAATAAAATATATTGGATGGGGTTGGGGAAGGATTGGTGAAATGGGCACCTCGGATCCTAGGAACAAGCATCAACTAGTAACGGCACGATACCCTAGGTTTGCCTTTTTCTCTTTAACTAATTCTCCCAAATTCTTGATTTATTTTTTCTTAGTGTTTTTAGATTATGCCTTATCTATTCGTGTTTTCTTAAAGGAAATGTAATGGGTGTCAGATTGTAGAGAATTAAATTTGGTCCTTTTGCCGGTATCTGATAAGCCTTTAATCACATAAATTTAAAAAGATATTCTTAATATAACGGGTATTAATAATATGACCATCCAGTACTCACTCTTAAAAAAAATAAATTCTGGTGATTTGGATAAATTACAAAGCAAAAATAGGTTTTCCTATCGCCAAAAAGAGATTCTTGACAATGTTCAGCATTTACTGTTAAATGTAAATTGGGAAACATGAGAAATTAGTTAAAGGTACTTTTTGTTAATGTCTATTTTAAAATAAAGAATAAAAAATCTCAACCCTTTAATTACATCGTTGTTCTCATCAATGCTATGGGAACATTGCAATTCAAACAGTGTCAGCTACAGGCACAACAAAACTATTCTCGAAATTTAAATTTTTTAAAATGTAGGTGTATGTTTCATGGATTTTAAATGTATTTTGACAAGGTAATAAGTAGTTCTGTTAGATGAATTCAGGAAAAATACAATAATATATTTAAATTTTTATACCTGAAAGCTTAAAGAAATTGTCTAAAGCATATCTTATTTATATCAGCTACTGCACTCGAAATAAATATAGTTAAAACAAAATATATGTTTATATGCGGAAAAGGCGACGATTTAGGTTATGTAGATATATAACAGAATGAGTTTGAACATATACAAACATTTAACGTTAAAAAATGTCAACGTTAATAAGAATAAATGGAATTGAAATATAAATTAAGGTCAGGTTAACTTAAAGGCTGGAAATGTCTAATATATTTTCATTGCAAAATTACTTAGCTCTTTCCTTCTATTCCAAAATATAAAAAATTAGAATTTACAAAACCAAAGGTGCAAAAAGTGGCCGCTGACATCAAGAGATGGACAACGCCTTAAGCTTTTTGAAAATAAAGTATTGTTCAAAACATTCAGAACAAAAAAGTTAACCGAGCATTTAGAATGCTAAACAACTCCTATTGATATGTATATATTTACATGTACAAACTCATATATACATATAAGAGTGTGAAAGGTTAGACAGTAAGAAATGAACCTTGAGTTGTGAGTTATAATTTCATGGTTCCATTTTTGACAACCATCGAATGATGTTGATTCGGCTTGCGGCTATTTCACGTGATCATTTCAAATGGTAATTTTCATGGCAATGGCGCACTTTTTATGCTATTGAGAAGTTATTAATATTTTGAATTCACGAATTTCACATTTACAAGACCATATGAAGATGTCATGCCAATTTACATTAAATTAAACTAATTTCCAACTTCTCAAACAATGGAATTAATATAGCTTTTACATACACTTTGTGATTTAAGAACAATCATATAATTCGAAAACATCAAAAGTATATTAAGCTATAATGTTAGCACACATTCCAATATTCTCGACAGTAACAAACTACTTAAATACTAAGTAATCTCTAATATTATAGATTATATTACGAGCTTCGAAGATTCTTCATGTATTTTCTATTTAATGCGCTTCTGAAATTTAATTTAAGCTAAAGACATGCAACAAATTAACTCCTAAACTCCTGGAAAAACAATTTTCACAAATTTAAATAAAATCATTTAATTTTATTTGCACAAAGTCGTCATTATTGAAAATAATACTTTGGCTTTGTCGAATTGTCTATATCAAGTGATATATCATTTCGTAATTGTAATAAAATAATTAAAATAAACATCGAATAAAAAATGTAAGCTGATAATGAGGTCAAGACCCCCATAACGTTCTGAATAAAATGATTCATTACTTGTATAATTAAGAAATGTATAAAAAATTGGGATGTTAAAAAATATCAGTATGAATTATTAAAGTGATTAAATAATTACTACGTTAAATATTTATAAGATATATTGAATCTAAAGAGCTGAGAATTCAATATGCATCTACCTCTTTGGGGTAATTTCATAATGAAACCTACCGTTTATTTACATTCTGTCAATTTAAAGAGATGTCAATTTAGTAAATTCAATATAAGTACATTTTCTATAAGTTTTACAACGAGTCATAACCGACCTAAACATAATGAAAACAGTCCCTGTTAAACATCAGAGTCTGTAGCGTTTATTATAATATTTTTATTCTCTAACATCTTAAATTATAGTGTTATACAAATTGTAATCGTGATAATCATAATTTAGTTTGTTGTAACTCTTCATTTGCCTTACTCATCTGTACTATTAGTTTATTTTTTTTTTATTATGGTCCAAATGGTCATTGGCATCCCTTCTATTTCTACACTCGGTGGTAAAACTTGATTTGTTTTAAGAATTCTATAAGAGATTGGACACCAGTTTTCATGTCTTCTAGGAAATTTGTGATTAGTTTCAAAATTGGCTCAATCCAATTTTTTTCATTAAGTAAAAATTTTATTTTCAAATATAATCAATGTACTACTTTGTATAGCAAAACAATATTGATCAAAAGTGTGTCAATCCGTATAAAAATGGGTTCAAACCTATTAGGTTTCATAGGTCAAGTGATAAAACTCTTAAATTTAAATTCTGTAAAATTTTGAATGATTTGGTTTGGATCTAACTGCCTCATTTGAAATGCATCTATAAATCTTTGCCATGAAGGTAAAGGACAGTATCTCTATTTTTTATTAAGTAATTTAGTAACTAAGAAACAAATTTTAGTTGCTCAAAGTTACAGAAAATTTGCTACCTGAAACCTTTACCACTACAACCCATGGAGGGTCTTGGGTTAAGTACTATTTAGAGAAATCACTGTTTTTTGGTCAACGGTTGAGTAAGGAGGTGATTTGACAGAGATCACACTCAACCGCCAGGGTTTTCCCCCTTAATTAATTATTTAATTAAGGGTACCCACTTTAGGCTGGGTGTGCCCCTGTAGGGTCTCCCGACCCAGGGTCACCCAGTGGCCAATGAAACAGAATAAATAATTTTTCTATCATGAACCGGGATTCAAACCTGGAACCTTTAGCACTGGAAACTCAGTACCCTACCACTGAGCTACCCCACTCCTCGATATATTGCATACTATAATAATTAGGTCAATCAAAAAAGTCTAAACTTTTTCTTACAAGTCTTATTTCACTGTCCTAATTTATATTTAAATTAACCTATAGCATCCTGATAAAATGATGTTATTTTACTTGAAATAAACCCACTATGTTAATTTCTGATTTAGTCTGATTAAATAAATTATTATTGTTGATTTATGTAAATATTGTCTCATAATTATAATATTTTTAATAAGGTTCCTATGACTTCCACAAACAACAATCTGTTTAAAGGAAGAGCTCTTTTATATAGAACATTGTTAATGTTATTGTTGTTTGATTTTGATATAAATTACTATTTGAAAATCATGTGCCATGAGGGACTAAATTTACTAATCAAATTTAAGATGTCATACACTTAAGATGAATAATTCATTTTGCTGCAGGAAACGAAATTAAAATTAATATTAATATTTTAATACATAAGACCTCTTAATTATAATATAAGAATGTGATGTGAAAAATCAAGATTTCAAAATTTCAGAGAGAAAATTTCATATTTTGAAATATTCATAGCGGAAGCTCATTGAGGAGGCCAAGACCCACTGAAGGTTGAGCCGATAAGATATATAGATAAATATAAAAATAGATAACAATTATAAAAAATTAGCATACAATTCTCTCATGATAATTAATCAAAATTATTGGTGGTGTAGATTTTTTTTTATTTATCCTTGTTAAAATTATCTAATAATTGATTAATTAATGTTTACAGCTGTGATGGCTCACCATGAGACCTTAGCAGACTACTTTCCTGAAATAAAAGGAGATCTCACGAAAGTAACGTGGGTACATGCTGTGAACACTTTGGAAAAACTTGCGGATGCTCTTAATGGTATTTATTATAATTATTATTATTAGTATACTTGTATGTTTTTCAGTTTTAAAAATATTTTATAGTTTCATATATTTAATGAACTTGGTTCAAATATTGTATAGTCAAATATAAATAGTTATTTAACCTAATATAAATAATTTAGTAATAATATCCATGTACCAATAATAATTGGAACCTCATTTAAAAATACTTTAAATTAAGAAAAACAATGAAATACACCATATTTTATTAGAAGTTGTAGATCTTTCAATATCTATATTTCAGTTTTCTCTTTTTTTTTCATTTATTTATTGAAATTTACAACTCTATTAGATAAAATGCAACTAGTAAATTTTAGTTGGTAATATTATATGTGCAACATGAAAAGAAACTACTCCAATTATAGTTCTACATGAGAAGGCCATCTACTTCTCAACCACCTTGGAGGATCGTCAGGAATCGAAGAGGATGCAAGATTAGAAATAAGAAGAAAAATAAATTTTATTCTGGGACTAAGTCTCCTTATAATAACTACAACGTACAATTTAATGACAATATTCTGGCATTAGAAATAATTAGGAATAAATTAAATTACAGGGTAATCTAGATCTAAAATTACAATAAGGAAAAGGCACTGCTAGAATATGAAATAATAAATAAATTCAGATATGCAAGTTCACATATCCACATAAAAAATGTGGATGATATATAATTATCTATAGGATAACATTAAATGTGACTGACAGGTCTGAGAAACGTTGAAATTATTTTACATATATTTGGAAGATTGATTGCTGAAGATATGGGTACATAAATTATTTTTAAATGAGACCAAGGATGAGGATTTGCGTGTGGTGATTGGTAGGGAATTCAAAAACAAGGTGGCACGCATGACAAAGGATTTTTTAAAGAAAACAGTTTTATGAGTAGAAATAAATAGGTTTGAGGGCTGGGATCTCATGTTGAATGAATGGACGGAGGAACAAGGAGTATAAAAATCGAGAAGGTAAGAAGGTTTTTTGGTTGAAAAGGTTCGAAAAAGAAACACACCTAGGAAGCATTGCAGATAGAGCCACTTCAACTCGGCATACCAACTGCAGATCTGGGAGCACCTGGGGACTCTAAAAATAAATCTAATGAAACAATTCATTAGTCTCTTTAATCTGATCTCAAGTCCACCAGACAGTCCACCGTATACAAGGCAGTCATAATCGAAATGAGGGAAAATGAATGAGAAAACTAGGGTCTGACGGATTTTAAGGGGGTATGGAATCACAAAATCTTAGGAACTGTTTTGAGGGTAGCAATGGATTTTTGGATTATTTGGGAAATATGATTATTCCAGGACGATTATCGATCAAAAATTACCACTAGGTTTCTAACGGAAGTGTGGAAATGGATAGGTAGGCCATAGAGGTAGAATAGGGGATAATAAGGAATGGAATTAATCACATGTTTGGTACCAATGAGAATGGCTTTGTTCTTCTCAACATTCCAAGTGGATTTGGATGGACCTGAAGTTTATAATGAAAGGATAGATATCTGGATTGATCTATGTCACATATGAAACGTTAATGTCATTATGGATAATTTTGTTTGTGGTATATTTGGGAGTATTCTGTGAAGGATTTTGAATTGTGAAGATTGGATGCGAGAGGAATTTGATTGTTTAGTGGAGCCAGAAAGCTCAACTCCATAACTTTAAATAGGTTTTATTATAGTCAAGTAAATAAGTTATTTATAGTTTAATAGAAGAAAGAGCATTTGTCTAGTAAGTGTTGAAGTAGCCGGAAACATATAGCAGTTTCTTGTCGTTTTAGTCTTTTTTAAGGATTAATTCCAAGTAAGAAGTTTGTCAAGTTGGAGTCCAAGGTAGTGGATCCGTTCAATCCGCTACCTAGGACTCCTTTTGGACAATATACTTTTTTTTTTGGATGACACAAACATAATATACCATTGAGAAGATAAATTATTTTTCTAGGTATATTCTCTCTTTTAAATGTCTCTTTACATTTTATATCTATATATATATTCTCTTGAGCTGTAAAAAAAAAAGTTACTGTAAGATTATGGGTATATTAATTATATTTTTTGTCTTTTATAGGTAAAGCGTTAATGATAGAGGCAGATATTGTACTGGGTTGGAAAAGTGAAGAAGATCGGAAGAATAAAACAAAACCTCTACCTGTTATGGCACATCCCCCAGCTGTCATCTCTAATCTCACTTTAGCAGAGTTTTTAGAAACTTTCATGCAAAGTGGTGCCCGTAAGGGAATCAAACTCGATTTTAAGAGTCGAGGTGCATTTGCAGCTTCGGAATGGCTGATAGAGAAATTGTATTACGAGAAATATGTAAGTACTTTCTTGATAGGTTTTAGTATTTATGATAAAGTTACTTTAATGTAATATTCTGATGCATACAAAGAATGGATTAGGTGTCTGAATAATATCCAATGGCACCATAGCTTCAGACAGCAATTTTATATATTCCTGTCTCCTTTAAGTCCACTAATAAATAAGAGTGAAGGAATGTAAACGGATTTGTTTGAAAATAACTATTTCTGTCATAAATACTGTTACAAAAGTTGAACTTTGTTTACTTCCTTGGGTATTATTTAGACAATCCTTACTTCTATCAGGTTATTTTCTTTACATGTCAGGATAATAATCCCAATTAGTTTGTATTTTTCTTTCTCTCAGCTAATATGGGGTGGGGTGATAAAAAAAACCAAATAGCTGTGATCGTCTTACACAAAGTTGAAAAATGTAGGTCTGAGATTTTCAGCAGTATGAAACCTTTGGGTACTAGCCGTATGTTCTTGTACCGCACTATAAATAGATATAATGAGACCCTATCTGTATGTGACAGACCTCAACCGGGCCCCGCACTGGGAGAACGGTAAATGCAGTGAGAGCAGTGGCTTTTCGAATCAGAAGAAATCCCATTCAAAAAAACAAATTATGTTTCGGGAAATGGGAATCTCTTGTCAGATCAATGTCTCGCATAATAAAACATGGCCTTAGGATGGGTACATTTCGGAGAATGACAGAACAAAGTCTAACCACTTTCCTAAAAAAAATTAGAGTGGATAAATGCAAAGTGCTCATTGGCCGTTACACCAATGGTCTTCATCAAAGGATTTTTTTTAGCACCAAAAAGCTGCATTTTTGTGAAAACGGAGTTAAAACAGCCGCTAAAAACTATCAGGACGATATTTTAGAACCTTTTGTCAAGCCTCTAAATGATACTCTGTTTGCTGCAAGTCGTTGGATTTTCCAGCAGGAGCCTGCTCCAGCTCACAAGGCCAGGTCAACTCAGCAGTGGCTGCTAAAGAACATTCCAGAGTTCATCTCTGCTGATTGGCCCTCAGGAAGCCCTGATTTTAACCCACTAGATTATCAGCTTTGGTCCAAACTGGAGAGAATGGCATTCCACAAAGCACACCCTAACCTGGAAAGCCTCAAACATTCTCTGGTCCGAGCAGTTGAGCGCTTTCCTCAAGAAGTGCTGCGCGCTGCTATTGATGACTGGCCACGGAGATTAAATGACTGTGTCAAGGCACAAGGGGGACATTTTGAGTAACTTCTATTTTGTTTTACTCTCTATAGATACACATTTTATTTTCTAATAAAGTTTTTGAAAAAATTAATTTTTCTGTTGAAATCTGCATACATTTCCTTGTAACAATATTTATGACAGAACTAGGTACGTATTAGTAAGTTAATGGATACCATGTCACATTTTTGTATTTGTTCAAGAGAGCCAATTTCCCATCCTTTGAGCTATTTAAAATTTGTTTCTTAGTTTCTAAATTATTTAATAAAACAAAAAAATGGACATAGTGCCTTTCACCTTTCTATTAAACCAGACAAGAATAAATTTCCATTTTGGAAAAGTTTTACAAATTAAAATTGTCTTTAGTCCAACAGGCTTGTGTAAGCCATTCTTTTCAACAATTACTATGATAAAATCTATATACAGAAAAATCTTATTTTATAAGAATTTGATATAGTAACTTTTAATAGAACACTTCTATAAAATCAATACCAAAATTAATGCAGTTTTGTTTGTAAACGTGATTTTAATTTTTAAAAAACAGTTGCTGATTATTTGTTGTTCATATTGTTGATATTAATTGAGGTTTCAGAGAGACTTCCCAGTGTGGCTGAATGCTGATATCGTACCCGGTCCTGTAAATGCTACTGCCCATGTGGTCGACCCTGATTATTTTCTTTCTTCTTGTTTTACAAAGTTTCCCTATTCTACTATTTCTGTCGGTTGGACCACGAAACTAGAACCAGGATCTCTCGAAGGTATGTTCTTTGAATAATTTAATTACTGTACAGAGCATAAAGTAATTATTCAGTTTTATTTATCAGAATAAATTAGTAAGATTAAGATAACTTAATCAAATAATAGTTTTAATAATTTAAATTGTAAAAAGGAAATGATTTAAATACTCAAGTAAGGGCATTTTTCTGCTACATGGGTGCATTTTTAAAAATATTACAATTTTTTTTTAAATATTTGTTGAAATTGTTATATTGACTATATGTAGGCGACAAAAGCTAGCAAGTTATCTCTTTATTTCTATCATCAAATATTGTTTATTTTGAGATTTATTAGAAAATTTATGGAAACTATTTGTATTTGAGACTTTATTAACAATTAATAAGCAAAAGTATTCATAAAATAAGCAATTGTGAATACTGATTACGAAGGGAAAATTGATAGATATCATCAATAAAAAAAAATTATTCAAATAATTATTCCATCTTCTAAAATTGCAGAAAAAAAAATTCTACAAACCTTTTCTTTACTAATTTTTGGTTTAGCTAAAAGTTAAATTTTAAACTTTTTAATTATTTAAATATATAATTTTTGTAGGTGTTTACTCAAAAGAAGATGTGGATCTCATGACCGATGTTTTGAGTAACAACATGATTACTATGCCCGTAACGTTTGCAGTGAGGGCAGCTTTTGCGGCACGGTCCATTGAAAGGATGATTGCCTTGATCGATACATCTCCACCGGGCTCAACACTTACTATATGGTCTAGTGTCGCAAGCGATGTTATCGATGTTGCAGGTATTGATAAAAAAATTATAACAAATAAAAATGTAAAATGCTTAAATTTCAGTTTGTGAATTTATTTTAATTTTAGCATTACATTAAAATTAATTTCTAAGTTTCTTGAAACAAAATTGAAATTATTAGGCAGAGACTTTTATAGATACAGCCAGTTCTCATATACAGTTGCGAGACCTATACCCTAACCAGGATCCTAGAAAAAAAGTATTTAAAGATTTGAGAGAAAAATTCTCTGCATGATAACCAGAATGATTTGGAATCAGAATACTAATGCATGGAGAAGAAAGGCTAATAAAGAGCTGCTTACGAAACTGGTCAATCAATATCACATTATATGAAGGTAAGGAGTTAAAGGAAGATAGATGGGCCATGAACTTGAGGAAATCCATCTGGAAGTCTCTACACAACAATGAATGCGTCAATAGAAGGCAAAAGACCACGTAGAAGGTCAAACTCCTGATGGATAGATAGAATAAACAAATATGCAATAGAGCTGCATGCAGATAACTGGAAAGAAATAGCCCAAGACAGACAGTAATGCCAACAGAAAAATATATATTAAACTTGAGTGTAAGCTCGATCAAATCACTTCATTGCACAACCGTCAACCAAGAAACAGTATTTCCTCACTAAGTCCTTTACCCAAGACCCTCCATGGGTTGTAGGGATATAAATTAAAAATATATTTCTATCACTGATACATTTTGGGTTTTCCACAAGCTTCAGAATATTGTTTCTAATATAATCAATTACATATATCAATATATCAAACTCAAAAATATAAGTTATCTAATACAGATAAGAGTATATAATACAGAATAGGTACAGTCCTCTGTATTATATTAGTGATAGAAACCACCATGAATTTTATTGATGAAAACACCACAAGATAAATGGGGAAGATGGATAAGACTAGCTTAAATATATATGGATATAAATAAAATTATTATACTTGTGCAATATTATCGATGTAATTTATTTTTGAGTTGTATATGTTCATATGTGTAGTAACATCTCTCTTATATGTTACAAACAATAATATGACCTCATGGAAGCCCATTTTATACTGTTGGGTTACTTCCAAATAAATACGAGGTTATTGAATAATAAACAAAATTATAAGAGTATTAATATATTTATTTATCTCAGGTGTAGATTACTGATCAGATCAAAACACTCAGACAAACTAAAATTAACTATATTAAACACTGTTTGATTTTAAAATAAAGTCAAATGTGGATTGGCAAGCTAACCTTTTTTCTATATACAGTGTTTCTTCCTTTGTTGCGCTGAATTCATTTGTCTTTTCTAATGTGTTTCAATGTTCTGCCAAACATAACTTCCAAATTGCTGACACTATCTTTTACTCAACTTAAGCTCCCTGTGAGATACTCTCTCTTGTAATTCCAAACAACTAGTCTCTCTGCCAAACAACAACTTCCAAGATGGTAATACTATTACTGAGTTTTACCCACTGGAGCCAGGATCCTTTCTCCTGTCCTCTCTTCACTCCAGCCATACAACAACTGCTTGCCAAAACAAAAACCTTTGTCCCTCTCCTCTTTGGGATTTTCCTTCTTGGGAAACTACAGAGCAGCCATTTTCTTTTCCCTGCACTAGTAGAACTAGATTAGCTTGCCTTGTAATTGTTCAACATTAATTTATTAAACCCTTTTTATTCACTTCCAATAAAGGTGTACATTACAATGTATGTAATAATTCTTGGAAAATATCCTGAAGATTAAAAAAAACGTAAAGCAATGAAATAAATATTTACTGAACTCCTATGTATATATAATTTAGTGGTGTCCGATTCTGTACATCTCAATTTTCAATTCAAATAATTATATTTTATTCATTTTTTTTTTTTTTTTTTTTTTTTTTAGCTCTTGGAAGACTTATTGATGAAATTGGTATAGACAGAGTTTACTTGGATCTTCCGAATGATATTATCAAAAACCTGAACCATTCAAGAAAAACTTCCAGTTCTCCGACCATTAAACCATTGGTACCATTGACCCTACTTGCATTCCTATTTTCTATATACCTTTATTTTGTTTTATAATGTAAATATTTTCTTTATGTAAAGGAAATTATGTAAAATGAAAACTGTGTATCAGTTCCATTAGATCTATGAAAAAGTTCCTATTTGGAATAATTTAGTGTTAATTTTACTAGAACGGCCTGTGATTAAAAACAAAACAGAATTTTTAATGTTAAATATTTTCAGAATCAGTTTTATTTATTGTAAATAGTGTCGTCCACATCATACCTGTTGTATTATTTTAAACAAATATTGTTTAGTATAATTGTTGATTTTGTATAAATTTTATCTCAATGGTTGTAGTTGTTTTTAGATTACGAGATGAATTATTAGAAACAACATTTAGATTATAATTTTGTAAATAATGTAATATAAATTATGTCATTGCATTTTTTCTTTTATATTTAATTAAATGAAAGTGAAGTTAATAGATTTTTTATATGAAACATTTAAACTGTAACATTTATGAGAAAATTGTTATATTAAATGAATAATTTATTTTAAAACTTTGTTTTTATTATTATCAAAGGAAAAGAGAATCATTAATTTGGTTTATTTAAAATCAGGTTGTATTCTTTGCAATATTTGGTAACTCCATTTGATGAAAAATAAATGTACTCCAACTAAAATTTCAATCTATATACTATATATGAGTCGCTTATTTCCAAACTGAACCCTAATAAATTTTTATGGAAATTAAAATGAGATTGATTCCTATATAAAAACATCCAATGATGCAATTATTTACTTATTTTGTTTTTCCAAAAACGACTTAAACAGTACAAAAAGTAGTGTGGAAATAAGTTTACGTATTTCCAAAACCATTTTTGTTTTTAAGGGATGTAATAAAACTTGTATTTCTTTAGTATTCTTAAAATAAAATCCATCAATAGCTTTTTTAACCGTTTTTATTCAAATGAAAATTTAAAATAAATTAATTTTATTGTAAACAAAAAGTTAATTTTTTATTCTACAATTTTTATTACATAAGAGAATAATATTAATAATTGGTAAATGGTTCACTGTCGTGGATAATGAAGAGAAGAATAGTTGGGGTGGTCAGTCAAAAAAGAAGGCAAAAATAAATGATAATATTTATTTTTACATAAGCCAACGTTTCGATCTGAAGTTCAGGCCATCATCAGGGCTGACTGCTCCTAAGGTGAAGATGCAATCAAGATGCAAGGTCGAAACGTCGGCTTATGTAAAAATAAATATTATCATTTATTTTTGCCTTCCTTTTTGACTGACCACCCCAACTATTCTTCTCTTCAATAATAGTAATATATTTTTGAAAAATATAACAAATTGAAAAATCTTGAACTTGAGAATGAAATTATTATTCTAAACCATGTCTTAAAACAGAAAAAAGAACTTTTATTTTTAAATGTTTCAGTATCACTGGAATTTTTATTGTCGATAGTTTTTCGGAACTAGAACTTTTTCCCTTGTAACTATTCAGGTAAAAATTTTACAGAACTCTTATTTTTTTTTATTTTTATTTAAAAGGTCTGTCGATTTCGCAAAAAAACATATCTAAAAAATTATTTTTATTCTTAACTACTCAAACAAAGACACACTAGAATCATGTGTTATTTTATTTAAGACAAATTATAACTCTAATCTATGCCTAATTACTCTTTTTTATTCATTTAACAGAACTTTTTTTAAGAATTTGAATAAATACATGTTAAACTTTAACCATATATCTGGAACATTCCTTAAAGTTCCTTAGAACTTTTTTCCTAAAAGGTTTCACAGAACCTGTTAAAATAGAAAGTTTTTAAAAAGTTCTATAAACTTTTCCACCCCAGCCCTAAACACACACTATAACAATAACAATACAGAATGCATAACAATATATATTATTGACACAATGTCTATTTTACTACCAAAACTTAAGTATAACAGAAATACCAAGCCTTAGGTAATGAAATGAATAAAACAGATGAAGTGTTATCGTTTCTATTTAAAAAAATATAAACAAATCTATTGATGCCTCAGCAAATTTCCCCCATTTTTATCCGAGTTAAATATTTTTAAAAATCTGTTGTTTTTTTTCTTTTATGACATTATAAGCACTACATTATGTGCAAATACTTCAACTAAACTACAAAAAAATTATTAATTAATTCATAATAAATATTAATTATGAAATTTCTATTAATTACATTTGAGCCTACCTTATTTGACCATTTTCAAACAAATTATGTTTGTATCCAACATTCTCTAAACATTTTATTTATATACTTCTTCAATACAAGTATTAATGAAATTTTTCAACAAATTAAATACTTTCTTTACTTCAATCAGCTTCTCATCTTTGAGAAGTATGATCTATTGCTTAATAATGGTGTATGATTTTGATTTTGATATTGACCAACATCAATAAATTACCATCGTTGACCTTATTAGCCAAGAAAATTTAAGTGAAAAAAAATTAATTAACAAAAATAAATTGGACTATAGAGTAAATATATAAAATTTGTTTAAAAATGCCCAAATTGGAAAATCTAAAATATAACGATACATATTTTATTATGTAATTAAATCAAATTTTATTATTTTATTGCAAAGTAACGATTAGTTAATTTCTATAATACATTACAAGAAATTATCATCTCAAGGATTAATTATAACAGAGACTCATTTAAATGAATTACTTTATAAAAGATATAAACCATAAAAATAATTAATTAATTTAATAATCATAGATATTTAGTAATTTGCAATCCTAAACATATCAATAAAAAACTTATACTTCAATTGGAAATAAAATTTATGATTTTATTCAATTATTAACAAAAATATTGTTATTTTAATGAATATTAAAGAGGAAACAACCTGTTGGAATATTTTTACAATATCCAGATAACTACATGACCAATCAACTGGTTGCTTTTCTCTTATCATCATATCTACTTAAGGAAATGTACTTTTACTCAGTTATTAAAAAAAAAAAAAAGAATACACTTTTACAAGTAATGCACCACTTGGATAGGTGATACAAGATTCCTGCCCATACTATAAATGGAAATTTGATGATATACTAAAGATAAATTACTAAATATGGTGGTATCAATACATTTTGAAGTGCACAACTGGCTAATTGCAAAGTATATATATTTTAGATATGGCCACCAACATCAGTTAGTTGATGGCCTTGTGTTCTCTGTGATTTATATCTGAAAGTTCATTCTCTAAATATGACCAAATCCAGAGTTGCAATTGTATGTATATTTTTTTTTTCTATTTTACTAATATTTTTTCAACTTTGATTGCTAGGCAAATATTTCATGATCAATATAATTTAATGACCTTATTCTACATACTCCTGAACGGTATAACCTCTCTAATTTTAAATCATGATTTAAGACTTCTGCATCATCAACTTATTTAGTTAATATTGTAGCCTTTATTAAGCTCATTAGCTATTCTGACTTCCACTAATTACTCTTGCTCTTAAGGGATAAACAAACCACTTTGTGGTCATTTTCAGTCGAGATCGATGGTTCTGTTACATCCTTCTTAAGTTCATAAGCTCAGCGGTGAACGACTGAATGAACTCTTCATAGATTTATGTAGAGTTTAGGATCGAACAACTGGATTCCAGCTGAAAGATATCAATCCTGGAAGGTTACATAATAATAACAGTTCTTGATTTCAATAGAATGAACTGTCCATTCAAACTTTTAAGATAAGAACAGTTATTTTTATTTATTTATTTTTCCCGCCAATAGACGAATCGATGTTTATTGACGAGAGAATGTTTATTCCTTTCATTATTTCTAGACTGTTAGTTTTCCAACGAGAGTCTCAATTCAAAAGAATGAACTATTCTTTCAAAAAGATAACAACAGTTGTTTTTATTTAGTCCTTTCTTTCACCGATAGTCGAGCAGTTTATTTGTTTCGTTTTTCCAGGTCCAAACCGTTTTTCAAAGAGTCTCAAAACGCCCAAGGTCGATGGCGCATGAGTCCTCAGCTCCTCCTAATCAAAGACATTTTATTGTTCTCCTCTTTTTAAAAATAGTGCAAGCTACAGTAACATTTTAAAAATCAAAGGCCATATACAATTATACTTTCAGTAGTCTGTACTACACTGTTCTCTTGTCCCTTGGTTTGAAACATTTCAATCCGACAATTCATAACCTCGTCAAAATGTGCCCCCCTCAAAAATTCAAAACTCCGTCAAAACGTGAGCACTCCTGGTCTCAACTTACCATGAAAATAACGGAACAATATTTTTTCTAGATATGTTTTTTTCTGTACAATTTTTGGTTGTTATTATTAATGAAGAATGGATATAAACAAACCCACCATAGTTATTACGTGACTAAATTAATTAAAACACGTTTGTAGATGTTACAACAAAATTAACTTATGTTTATAATGTGTCCATGTATAATTGTGTCTTGCAGACAGGAAATCATGTTTTATAAATTTTTGGTTTAATTCTACTGTTAAACTATTTAAAATCATGAAAATTAAATTCATAATTTTGAATATTTGGGAAAGTTCTTAAACTTATCTAGGTAATTTGTGTTAATAATAATTTTAAAATGAAAATCTATGTAATACTATTAAATACAAATAAAAAACCTATCCATTTCAAACACGAATAATGCATGATTTCATTTTTTTTCTTTCATTATTTTTCACACCTTTCATTCTTTTTCTGATCTGTTATTTTAACCGACTATTAAATACTGATAAAAACGAAATCGAGTAGGTTCTTATTTCAAAAATAATTTAGTTGTTTTAAGCCCACCTTACATGGTCAATATTATTGAGTCAATATGGAATATATTGATGATCTAAGGGATATATTGTAACAATTATATTGACATTTGTACTATGTATGCAACCTCCAAGAATATAGCTTCAGTATTATTGATTGTGTAAGGTGGGCTTTAGGAACTATATTTTCTCAACAGTTCTTAAAAACCTTTCACTCTTTCAAAAAATCAATCAAGAACGCACTGAATTCTATCGATGAGTTTAGAAACTTGCCATTATCGAAATTCCATGTACAGCATGATCATGGGATCTTGCGCAATCGATCAAATTTGTAAAATAGTATTTTTTTTTTTTGTTAATAAGTAAAAGTTCAGTCATTCATCTTAAATTTGAAATTATAGGTAACTGGTGCAAATAAAGGTATCGGTTTTGGGGTTGTGAAAAATTTTTGTAAGCAATTTGATGGTATTGTATATTTAACAGCCAGAGATGTTGGAAGAGGTAAAAAAGCCATAGAAGAATTGAAGAAGGTGAGTTTTAAATACATTATAAGTTCTGTCTGTATCTTTGATCATTTAGAATTTAAATGTTTCTTTTTTTCAAAGCTGGGCTTGAAAGCAGAATTCCACCAATTAGACATTGATGATATTCAAAGCATCACAAACTTTGCCAATTTTATAAAGAAGACCCATGGAGGAATTGATGTACTAGTCAACAATGCTGCAATTGGTTATAAGGTGATCATTTAATTATTACATTTAACCAATAATAAATTAAGGTTTTACTATCAGCAAAATACTTCCCATTTATACTTCTACAATAAAAAATATTTTTAACTAGAATATTATTTAATATATAACACAAAGTTTCAGCTTTTATTAGGCATTTTCTTACAATCTTGAATATATAACAACAATAAAAAACATATATAAAACTAGATAATATACTACTTCTCGGTAGTAACGATAATCTTTTGTTTAAAAGTTCATATCAAAAATTTATTGGTTTACAATTTTTTACTTTTTATAACATTATTTTGCTATTTGTTTATTCCCCTTGAAAATGACATATGAGAAAATAATTTTAAAAACATCTATTTTTATTTAAAATATAATTTAATTCAAAAACTTTGTATATGAAAAATTTATCTCATTATAAAACAAAAGTAAATTTCATAAAAATTAATTTCTTTTTATTTACTAGTTGATTTTTTGGTAAATTTCTTTGACCAATCAGCTTCTACCAATTAGAACATATAGCTTAAACTTCTCCATAAGACTGCTCAAACACTGTTGAGATTTATTTTAAAAATGTATTATGTTTACACATATGAGGAAAAAAATCATTATCTATTTAGATTTTTTTTTTTAAAGTTTCACATAATTTTGACTTATTTTTCCCAAATAAGATTTGAAATTACTGCATTTTCAAGATTTTCAATAATTTTTAATACTTGATATTTTTTACTACTACTTGATTACTTTATTAATGTTACTTGATTTTTAATATCTCTATCTTTCTACTGTATATATTTTTTTTTGTATAGATAATTTCCAAATCCTCAAAATCAAATTTATGTTCTTCTTCAAACCCACGTTGTACAAGTACATTTTTTTTCTTCTATATTTTGGGATATTTTTATAATTATCTTTATGTTGGTTATTATGTTACTTATAAAATCTTAATCTACTATTGATGAAATGTAATAACTAAATAAAGGTCAAACTAAAAGTGAATAACCAAAATAAGGTTATTTATCATAATCATTTAATTAATTTACAATTACTACATTATAAGGTTATGTAGTAAACTACATATTTTTTTCAACAATGGTCTGATTTTAATTTATTTTATTTTTAGAGAGATGAAAATGAACCATTTGGGGAACAAGCAGAAGTAATATTAAGAATAAATTTCTTTGATTTGATTAATGTTTGTTCTGCCCTCTTTCCGCTACTGCGACCACATGCTCGTGTTGTTAATGTATCAAGTGCTGTAGGCTTTTTGCAAAACATACCCGATGCTGACTTGAAGAAGAAATTAGGAGATCCCAACTTAACATTAAACGATCTGACCAGTTTAATGAAACAGTATATTTCGTAAGTTGGTTTATTTTATTTTATTTTATCTATATAATTGGGAAAATTGTATATTAAATACAATGTTTTTGGAATGGTTAAAATTAGTATTTTTATATGTTATAGAATGATTAAAAATTGTATCTCATACTTTTTAGTTTGATTATTATTGTAGTTTAATGGTGGCCCAGCCTATATAATAAGACAGATATTCATATAATAGTGTGTATAAAAACAAATGACTGTTTTTTAACCAAATATTTGTGTTATTATTTCTTTGATATAAAATACAATTAATCCTCAAAGTATAGTCCATTGTTATCTACCGCCATTAGCCATCTGCTAGCCAATTGTTCGATCCCTCGCTGATACCATTCTTTGGGATGGCTGTCAAAAAACTCTTAGACCACAATTTCAACTTCCAAAAAATTATCAAATTTTTTCCCTAAAGAAAAATGGGCCATGGATCTAATAAGTAGTAATCCGATGGTGTGAGATCTGGACTATATGGGGTTTTCAATAAATTTTCACGAATTTCTAACCTCTTAGCTTATTTCTGAGGAGTAAGTTCGTGAGGAACCAATCTACTGCTCTTTTTCACCTTCCTCATGGAGAGTAGACGGGAACTAACAGTATCTTTCGACACACCACAATCTCTGGAAAGTTCACGAGTACTTATGGACAGATTTGATTCAACAGCTTCCTGCAGAACCTCATCAATATCCATTAATGGTTGTCCGGAGCCCTTTTTCCTTTCCAACATCGTATCTCCACTATTAAATTTTTAAAACTATTGTCGCACAGTGTGATAGTCAAGAAAGAAGACACAAAAATGAGAGGGCTGGTTACGGTGGATAGAGGCTCCTCTAGGCTGAGAGGCAGAAGGGGAAGAATTCACTATTTAAAATGTTTTTTTTTGTTTTTCTATTTTTTAGAATATTCTGACATATTCCTTGTCATTATTAAATGCTGTTTGTCACTTACATCCTGTCCCATTTTTTATTTCAATTTCTATTATAAATGAAAACCTCAGTAATCTTCTTATTCAAGAAAGTGCTTTTTAGTTCATTTAAAGTTTTTCTTTCTCAATCATGTTATTTTAAAAAATATCATTTTATTTATTTAAAAATGATAATTAAATAGAGTGAACACACCATTTATGGACAGATTGTACTTTAAATGTAAATATTGTTAAATAAAAATTTATAATTTTTCTGAGGTATGTCCACTACTAGAAAAATTGAAGTTCGGAGTGTCCATCACTAGTGCAAAAAGGTATATTTTTTTTAAATGGAGATTATTCCTGCATAACTAAATATTTTTTCAATTTTAAAGTGCTAAATTGAAAAAGGAGACTCTAGAGATTCTAAATGTCCAATGGTGAAGTTTATACTATAATAATTACGGTGGCATAAGCTAAAAACTACAAACATTTCCTTAGCTATGTCCATCATTGGTGCGCTTAACCTACTGCATTCAGATTTATTTATTTAAAAAACAATAAACAATAGATGATACAGCAGTTTTTTTATTTCACAGAGAAGCAAGAGCCGGAACACATGGTGAAGCTGGCTGGCCAAGCAACATGTATTGTAATTATACAGTTTCTAAAGTTGGAGTTAGCGCTTTAACAAGAATTCAGCATCGTGAATTCTTAGAGGACCCTCGTGAAGATATTGTTATTAACCACGTCCATCCAGGTTATGTTGCTACAGATATGACAGAACATCTAGGACCTCACACAGTTGAGGAAGGTAATAGTTACTAAAGTAAAGGTTTAGTTTCAATATTTTGTGAAATATAATTCAATGAAAAATTTGTCCATTCTGAGACATTTAGTTCTCTAAGAATAACATAAATGCACATTTCACATATAGTCTGGTTAATTTAATTATAACTCAATTAAATTATTAACTAAAAGACAAATAATGAAATAAATATAATAAGAAATTTTATTTTGAAGTTTCTTATTATTCAGTCTGAACTTTATACTCTTTAGACTTCCGAAATTAGCAATTTTTCTGTGATGTTTTATTAGCTTTGCCAAGGGCCAAGGTTCAGGGACCGTTCAATTTTTGAGTTTCAACCCATGATCCACAAAGGCATGTTCATCTCTGTAACAGCCCTATAACTTAGCCCGTTAGTCACAAAGAAAGAGAGAAAATTAGCTTTCTATTGATACCCATAAAAATTCACGAAATTGCACTTATCGCACTTTTCACAAGTGCCTCAGAAAATTTATGAAGAATGAAAAAAAAATTGAATGCAATTAGCAGAAAAGCAGTACTTGCTTATAAAATATTTATGCTAGCAGATATGGGGTAATATATGTTTCATTATTTGGGACTGTGTGACAGCAAAATTTACTATTTACAAAATATTTTATTAAACAGTCTGGTGGACACTGGTTTTAATCTTAAGATAATTTGAGCACAAAATCGAGAAATAAGGTGGGCTGTATAGCGTGACCTACATCCCCAACTTGTCAAAATAACAAGGTTATGTAGACCAAATGACCCAATAAATTTGCAAGCCACCTTTTTTCTCGATTTTGTGATCGAATTATCTTATGATCCAAGTGGAAAGAAAATGGGTATTTAAGAGATTTCAGTATCTAATTAAATAAAAAAAGTTTGCTGATCTGATTGAAAACGCCTCATTTCCAAGAGTCTTCGTAAATAAAACAGTTTTAAAGTATGATGAGATGAAGCTATTCAAGAAGTTTCAGCCAGATGTTAATAATTTAATAAAAATGGGTCTGTACCATGGACTATAAACAAGTATACAATTATTATGAAAACAATTGGGAAAAAAAATAACAACAGATTTAAATAAAATTAATTATGTGTTAATTATAAAATTTAGATATATCTAATATTATTAGTTAATTATAGTGTAAACTTTCTTGTATCTACTGCAATGCCTTGCCAAGTGTCAACAAAAAAATATGGGAACCTAACTGAGCCTAAAAAATATTTTTAACTAATAATTTTTTAAAAAATTAATAATTTATAAAAATTCTGAAAACACTTCAAAATTAAATTAAAAATTTCAACTGAGATAAATTATAGGTAAAAAAAAAAAGTGATATACTAGTTATTAATATATATACTGAGACCAAGGGCTAGAAGTAGAATTGTAAAAAAAGTTTGTACTTTAGTGAAAAAGTTCCATTTTAGGGAAATTCCAAGGCTGGGAATGACAAAAAGAGAAATAATTTTTATTAATCAAAGCCTAATGTGAGCACAGATTAATCTACTTTTTAAATAATATAAGTAAAACAGACACTAAACGAGTGGTTATATATAATGTTATGTATTATTTTGTATATATTTAGGCGGAAAGGATTTTTAAGGTTATTATGAGGGTAAAAAGAGAAAATTTGACTGACTAAAAGTAAAATAAAAAAAAAATTATGGTGGAAATTCTGGCTATAAACTAACTTCTTATACTTCCAGCAGCTAGCGCACTCTGTGTTTTGCTCCTGGTAACATCCCTTCATTTTTTCTTAAGTCTAACAGTCTTATATCAGAAAACTAAAGCTTCCTAGTACTATAAATAATGCTTCTCAAAAAGGACACATTTTTCCTGTCTTATAAAGAGTTAATATATTTATTTAATACAATTTTATTTTTTATTTTAGGCTCAGATGCTATAACATATGCAGCTCTACTACCAGCAGGGACAAAATCACCGAAAGGGGATTTTATTTGGCGTGATCGGCAAATAATTGATTGGGTCAACGGGCCTGCTCCAGCTTTCTATTAAATCATTTTGTGACCTATGAATTTGATTATAAATTTGAAAAAAAAAATTCATCGCATTGTAAAAAAAAAATCTAATTCCAATAAAAAAAAATTAAGGAATCTGGAGGGGTTTGGTGCTAATACAAACATGAAACCATTTGTAGAATCAAAAGGAAGAAGATGCGGGCAGAGAGAGCACCCTCTACTCTCTCTTATTGTTTGTATCTAAAAGGAAGTCTTGAAATTAATAATTCATATGCTTCTATTTTATTAAGTATTTCATTTTAATTTATATAATGTTAATGATTTGAGCTAATTTACAATGTTATGAAGGTTGGTTGAATGTATTCTCATGATTTAATAAAAATGTTTCCATTATGTTTGGATTTATTTCCATAATTGTCTGTAGATTTTAGATTATATAGGGCATTTTTAATTATTTTTCCCTGTTGCAAAATTAAAATCTTAAATGTTTATATTAAAATCTCAATTGATCCTAAATCATTGTTTAGTTTTCTTTTTATTGAAACATATCATTGACAATGGATTTGAATTTCATGAAAAATAGTAAAATTTCCATATTCATTGGCTTTAGCTGCTTAAAACAATATGAAGCCAAATCATATATAAAACCGTATATATATATATATATATATATATATAATTTTTTATCCTGATATAATGAAATGAATATCTTTATATACTCCTAATATTATTTATCAGAGGTGTTTTTTTGTCTGTTATACCACCTCTGAAAAATATGTCATACCTTTGTTAATACTTCATCAGAAACAGTGATTCGGTGCTAATTTTCTAAGATTATCTTTTCCTTCTGAGATGAACAATAAGCAAATCCTTCAAAAAAAGCAAGAAAAAACATATGAAGAAAAGCAAACTTTATTTGGACATAAATCAACAAGTATACTATTTAAGCTTGATTATATTATTTTTTTTAAGTTTTTGGAAAATTTTAAAGGTCTCTAATTTCTCTAGGATAAGCGGACCAGTAATAGACATAGCTAAGGAAATGCTTTTCTTTTTTTGCTTACGCCAACCTTATTATTATAGTTATAAACTTCTCCGCTGGACGTTTAGAATCTCCAGAATATCCTTTTTCTATTTAGCAAATAAAATTGAAAAAAATATTCAGTTATGCAGGTATAATCTCTATTAAAAAAAAAAAAAACAACAGTTTTTTGCACTAGCGATGGACACCCCGAACTTCAATTGTTCTAGTAATAGACATGGGTCAGTAATATACATACCTCAGAAAAATTCTAAATTTTTATTTAACTATAAAAATAACCATAAAGGTAAGATAACATAACTGTTAAAATTTCTCTTAGCAAACTGTTTGTAGGAAGGTATGAAACATACTGACCCCAAGAGCATTATAGAAACAACAATGACAGGCATTTTAAAATTTTGTTTTGAGAACTTTATTCATACAGTTGTGAATATAGTGCAATGTTCTTCAATAAAGAAAAAACTGAAACCTTTAAATTAACAGGGAAGCTTAATATTTACATTTAAAGTCCAACCGACACTGGGCCTGTCCATATCTAGTGTAATCACCCTACCAATGAAAAAAACAAAACAAAAAAAAAAACTATTCAAATCAGACCATTATTAGTAAAGATACAGCTTATTGGAATGTTTACACATGTTTCGTTTAATTATTTTCAATAATGAACCATTGTAATCAAACACGAAAAAAACAACAACACATAAAACGATTTTATGTGTTAATAAGGCTTAATCTCGAAAACGGATTGAGATATGAATGGATAATTGGCTGCTTGAACTACATTTTTGATTAACTATCTCTCCTTTAATTACAAACATTTCTTCCTGGGACACTCAGTATCAGTAGTGGATTGAGAACTTTTTTTTCGGGTTTCTTTGTTAAATAACGTTAACCACAAGAACAATAATAACTTATTTGTTAAATAACGTTAATCAAAAGAACAATAATACTCTAAGAGATAAAATTTTTTCTTCACATTTGCAATATTTACTATCTGAAGCACACCAGTAATTTATACGGATTATCTTTATATATTATTTCTGAAAGGTGTTTTTATTTTTTTCGCAATGCTATATCTTCATAAATTCTTCAATAAATCCATTGATTCAAAAAGTATGCATTTTTTTCTTGATTGTACCCATGATTATTAGAAAGACTACTAAATCACCAACAAAAAAAAAAGTATCTGGTATGTCCACTCACACTACTTTCCTACCCATTTCTAAAAGTTTTTATACCTTTCAATTTGTCCATTAAAAAAAAAAAAAGAAGACTTGAGAAAGAACAGTGTTAAATAACTAAAACACTCTAATATTGTTAATCAAAAAATTTTTGCCATGGCCCAATTTAGTCAGAAAATTATTCATGTTAAAAGTAAAGGAAATAGTGAAACTTGTGTAATGCGGACACTAGATTTTTTTACTTTCACTCCTTTTATTTTTTCTCTTTCCCATTTCTGGCATCTGGATTTAAACTCATAATATTACGTAAGAAATTGAATAGCTGTATCTTCGTTAATTATTCGTCTGAAATGAACGATTTCTATACAGTTTTGAAGAGAATTTCATAATCTTAAACAAAAATAAATAAAAAAAAAGACAGGCTAAAATATTTTTCACTTATTGCGCAGGGGACATACAATTTGTGTCAATGTCATCAGTAGTCTAAAACTCTAAGTCATAAAAAAGAAGCAACAAAATCGGTCTTCTAGTTATCGAGATAATTTTGGCACAGCCAGACAAATGGTATTTTTTGGACTCAAGGGCTCTGAAACGTGAAGATCCGTCGAAAACCGCATGGCGGTCATAAATTGACTAAATAGTGGCAAAACTATTTTATTAAAAGCCAACGTTTCGACTTTGCAGGTCTTCTTCAGGGCTAGAACGGACAAAATACAAAAATATATAGAGAATTGTGAAAGTTACATAATATTATTATAAAAAATTATTAACAATGTGAATAAGCTTATTAAAATTATAAACAGTAAGTACATTAAAATATAAACAGAGTAAGCTAAGTAACAAGATCCTAAACTTAAGTAAATAGATGGTAACAATTGTTGTAGTGTAATATATAATATATGCAATTGTGAATATACTCCTACAGATCTACAGGAGAGATTGGAAGAATGGGGAAAAGGATGTAATATGAAATAATGAACATAAAGGGATGTGGAGAAAGAAAAAAAAAAAAATAAATAAATAAGAAAAGAAAATTATAAAAATAAAAATAGAGAATTATAGATGTGTTCAGCAAGAAACACAACAATTTCATTACCTTTCAAAAGTTTGTGTATAAATTTTACCACGAAATATTTACTTAGAGGAAAAAGTGGCCTACAAAATATTGGGCCGTATAATAGCCTCACCATTTTGACATGTTGGAGGTTGAGGTTACGCCCAACGACCCAATATTTTTGTAGGCCACCTATTTTTTTTTTTAAATTCTGTGATAAAATTATCTTACAATTCAATCGGAAAGGAAACAATGTACGTGAGTTTCTAGTAACTCATCAAATAGACTAAGTTTAGGAATCTCCATTTCGAATAATTTTTGTAAATAAAAAAGTTATAATTTACGATAAGTGAAGCCATTCGCATTATTTTAAGACAGTTGTTAACACTTTATAAAAATGGGTCTGTACCGCGAAATATTATTACTAATAAAAAATCTTACCACACTACAACCCATTAAGTGTCTTGTATACATTACTTTGTAAGGAGTACTGTTTCAAAGCCAACGGTTGTACAAGGAGGTGATCGGGTCGAGATCACGCTTAACTACCAGGTTTCCTCCCTTTATTAACTATTTGATTAAAAATACCCACTTTTTAGAAGCTGGGTGTTCCCCAGGAGGATCTCCAAACTCCAGAATCGATCCACGGCTGATGAAAAATGTCTTGTCATCAACCAGATTCGAAACCATGAGCTTTGGAAGTCAGTACTTATCCACTGATCTACCCCGCTCCAATTATTATTAATAATCAAGGAAAGAACAGCTATCATTATTCAATTAAATTATATCTATTGCAGAGATTGGTTTGAAGTCAATCTGCATAAAAAGCATTCCTCTCCTTTTATAGAAATGCATTGTTGGAAGATCACTTAGTATTGTACATGCACCTTGAGGTGAGGTAATTCATATGAGATGAGTGTAATGTGTGATGGCTTCAAGGTACCATCTTTAAATATTCCTGTCCCGTAGCTAATTGAATATTCCGTTTACTTTCTGTAATATTTTCACTTTCTTCTAAACGTTGAAAGATCGGATGTAAGAGTTGAACGTGTTTCAATGCAACAACGATGCAGCTTCTAGAAATCTTCAACGAGAAACATTTTCATATTTCCTCTTCACTCCTTACCTTGTCCATTTGACTAATTTAATAATAAAAACATTCAAAAAGAGAACCTTAGATACTTGAGTTTTCAAATCCATACTATGTAAATACAATTCCAAACATTTTAGTAAAATAAAAGACAGCATTTATAAAATGGATACTTATAAAAACATGTATTAAACGCTCCTACAAAAAAATGTACATCTATTAAATAACACAAAATATAATAATATATAACATAAATCAAACCACAAACACCTATCAGAAAGACGACAAACTCATGTAATCCGTCTTGATGTCATAATATTGGGTGAAGAAACAAAAAAGGACATTAAAAATAAAAGAAACATTTTTAATTTAAAAAATCTGGAATTTTAACATTTGGAATACATTTAATTTGATTTAAATTTAAAAAGTTACCTACTCCAATCCTCAGTGTATTTAAATCTTTTTACATCAAAGAAGTTTAGTGTTGACCAAACTTTTTGTATGACTAACCCAATAAAGGAGTATATTATGTAAGTGAATTTTATTATTAAGAAAATGTTTTTAATTAGGATATTATTCAGATTAAATTAAAAATATTATTAATAATTGGTAACTGGTTAACTCTCGTGGATAATGAAGAGAAGAATATTTGGGGTGCTCAGTCAAAAAGGAAGGCAAAAAATAAATTATAATATTTATTTTTTACATATGCCGACGTTTCGACCTGAAGTTCAGGCCTTCATCAGGGCTTTCTCCTTAAGTGTCAAGGGGAGAATTCTTAAGGAGAAAGCCCTGATGAAGGCCTGAACTTCAGGTCGAAACGTCGGCATATGTAAAAAATAAATATTATAATTTATTTTTTGCCTTCCTTTTTGACTGAGCACCCCAACTATTCTTCTCTTCATTAAAAATATTATTAATTGTATACAAATGATATTGAAATACAATATAGAATCTATTAAATATCCGAGCTAGTTCAATTCAAATCCTCTGTCCATTTCCGCAATACCCGCTC